GCAGGAGAGATACAGCAGGAGAGTTACACCAGGAGAGATACAGCAGGAGAGACACAGGAGGAGAGTTACAGCAGGAGAGATACAGCAGGAGAGACACAGCAGGAGAGTTACAGCAGGAGAGATACAGCAGGAGAGATACAGCAGGAGAGTTACAGCAGGAGGTGTATCGCCGCGCTGATACCGCTGACAGTTCCTTGTTTAAATCGCTATTTCCTTCACGACAATACAATGTGGGTCAAGTGCACAGGGTCTGAATGCCTCAGAGCTCCTGCCACTTCCCCCATAACTTCCCATGTGCATCATCACAAATTCGTTAACAGCAGCAGACGTGACCCAGTGGTTTAACAAAGGGAGCGGAAATATTTTGCAGTTATATAACAGCGTGTTACCTTGATGTAGGATGGATGCCCCAAGTCGTTGATTGGTTGGTTTGTTGTTTTAAGCCGCACTCAGCAATATTCCAGCTATATGACGGCGATCTGTAAATAATCGAGTCTGGACCAGACAATCCAGTAATTGACATCATGAGCATCGATACAGGCAATTGGGATACGATGACATGCATCAACAAAGTCAGCGAGACTGACCACCCGATCCCGTTAGTCGCCTCTTACGACAAACATAGTCGCCTTTTACGGCAAGAATTGGTTGCTGAAGACCTTTTCTACCCCGGATCTTCACGGGTCGATGCCCCAAGTGATGCAAGACAGTGGTCAAACCCACGAGCAAAGTATAGTGACAAGATGAGAGCCACAATCACGGCGAATCTTGGATTTAAACCAATCTCATTAAAATCAGATCTTACTCGCTATCGCTGAACAAAGATCTGAGGACATCCCATTACGGATCACGTCAGAGCGACCTTTCATCCGACCAATCAAAGCGTCGCTTACCAGATCATGAAAGTGACAAGCGGAATGTGTTTTCTAATCATGCAACCTCGAAAACGTTAACAGGGGGTGTTCCGAACGACAGTTACGGCCCGTATCTCTCGCTTCCGTGGCATAAACATTTGAACAGAGGAGGCGTTGCACAGTACGTAGGAAGCATTGCCATACAATCGCAACGATATATAAGACATATTGAAATGTTCGTTTGTTCAGTTTTTATACTTTTAATTGAGAACTGTGTCAACATATTTTTCAAGCGTGGTCTGAAATGCAAGTCGCCAGGTTGAAACGAGTGCCGTAAAATTCGAGAAAGCGAACTTTTTACGAGATACAATTGAATAGAGTGGTCTAGAGGATATAGCGTCTGCCGGGAGAGCGGAAGGTCGATGGTCTAATCACACAGCTGTGTCCCACGGAAAGACGCTTAAAGATGGTATACTTGTTGTTTCCCTGCCTGGCGTCGGCATTATAAATTTTACTCAGTCAATATACATTTTCATTGAAAAATGAGAATGTACTTCAGACAGATTGATTGAAATTGACTCCTCATTTTAATATCAGTAAAATCTCAATGTTTGAAGCAAAATGAAGATATATAGTTAATGGGGCATAAGCACGCACACATGATTTTACTACAAACAGATAGTCACCGTAGTTCGTATTTACCCATATCACGATCTGCTGACTGCTTTGTTCCCGGGCTTTATTTCCGACACCGCTCGGCAAAGTCCGGCGGTCGCCATTGTACAGTGTGAGATCATTTTGTATTAGAGAATTAGTGGCCCAACTTATTTAATTCTCTTGTGATCGAATGACACTCTGTTAATGTACCATGTATTGACTAGATGTATGTTATCTCTTATATGTTCGCTACTATATTCTTGTTTTGAAAATGTTTTTTGTATTTATGACTTGCAAACATTAAGGGAATTTGTATCTACATTCAGATATTTCTCATGTTCTTATGGTCGTTTTTGCCTCATCAATATTTGTACATAGCTTGTGGTGAATCTTTAATGATACCGTTGGATAGCTTATATTCAGCGCTTTATTTTGATACTTACGTTCAGTGTAGATGTAGTGGTTAGTTTGCTATTCGTGTTTTCCCCGTGTTTAGAAACAAACGTTAGCTAGGCGCCCCAGTTAGGCGTATTCCCCGGCGGTCCATGAGGTGATGTCACCTCCGACGTCCGCGCGCTGTATATCTAAAATCTTTCCAGGTTATATTTCTTCACCCTCCAGACTTCGTTACATCGTTCACGATTGTCTCGCTACTGGAGTGGTCACGGTCGAAACTCGTCAGTAAATGGGTTCGGGGCTATGTCGATCAAGATTCTAACTTTGTCTGGTTGAACTGAACTAAACCACAAGAGTTTGTTATACATAGTTTTGCTACTTATCCGTGGATGACTAACCTTCCCGCGTTTTCTAGGCACTCTGTGTTTCCAATACTCCGTTTTTCTAGTAATCCGTGGATAACCAGCCTTCCCGTGATTGTCTAAGTATTTGGTCTGTATGTCTGTCTGTCTGTCTGACTGTCTTATTCCTATGACACCCCACAATCTCATTAAAATCCGTTCTTAGTTCTCGCTGCCTCAAAACAAAAATCTATGGACACTCCATTTTAGGGTCACGTCAGACCGACCTTGCGCGAATTTGGAATGACTGACAAGGATTAGCAAATCAGAAGGCAGCTTTCTCGTGCTTTACTGCACCAATTTCATATTGGCGACTAAGCTTCGAAACATATTTTGACAAATTCTCGATTAAAAATTTGAAACCCGAACAAAAGAACATTCTGGAATGGCTAATAGATGGCCTATATTGTATGGATTCAGTCATGAAGCCCGTAACTATCGTTCGGTACACCCCGTGTTTAGAAATCACATTCCGACTGTCACTTTCATGATCTGGTAAGCGACGCTCTGATTAGTCGGATGAAAGGTCGTTCTGACGTGACCCCTAATGGGATGTCGTCAGATCTTTATTTAGCGGTAGCGAGAACAAAGATCTGATTTTATGAGATTGTGACACCCCCAATCATTGGAGCACAGCTCCGTGACACAGTTTCAAAGGGTGATTTTGTTGTTGAACGTTTTGCTTGAACTGTTCAAGGACATGTGAGACATTATATACAATTTATTATAATAACATGAAGACCTTGAGTTGACTTTTACAACACAATAAAGCTTTGTGGGTCAATTTCCTCCCCAGAATGAGTGCCAACAGGGCCTGAGAAGCTGGTATAAAACGTGTTCACATTACCGTCACTCATTTATCTGCACTCAAATCACATCAGGTTCATTTGAAGCGAATATAAAACATCCCCCCAAAGTGCTTCAAATACGGATGCAGACGAGTGATAGCAGATAACAGAGTGCTTGCCTGCTCCGGTTCATTAATTTGTTTAACCAAAATATCCCCTGGTGCATATTTTCAACCTCATTTTCACAGGGGTTTTTTTGGAGTAGGTTAATGGGTGACCGTGTTCGGCAGCTTGACTCGAGAGTTTGTCTTTGGCCCTGTCCAACACTGAAACACGGGTTACATCTTGTGCCGCCCTAGGCAAATGATTTTGTTCAAAATATTTTCGATCAGTCAGCAGTAAATGGGTACACGGTAGGATGAATTTTACGCTGTTTTGTTTTAAGCTTATTCCAGTCGTATCACGACAGGGGGACGGAATCGGACTCGTTGTACCCAAGTGGGGAATCGAACCCGGCTCCTTGGCGTGTTGGGCGAACGATTTTACCACTTGGCTACCCTACCACCACCAAATCCCGCGAGATAATATAAATATACTTAACAAAAGACCAACGGTATTTTTAATGAACCGACATGGATATCTGGTAACGAAATATTTTTTTTTCTGCGCAGTACGAGGTACATGGAAATTGGTAGTTTGTTTGTTTGATGTATATCGCCGCACTCAGCAATATTCCAGCTATATGACGGCGTTCTGTAAATAATCGAGTCTGGACCAGACAATCCAGTGAATAATATCATGAGCATCGATCGACACAATTGGGATCGATGACATGCAAGTCAGCGAGTCTGACCACCCGGTCCTGTTAGTCGACTCTTACGACAAGCATAGTCACCTTTTACGGTAAGCACGGGCTGCTGAAGACCAATTCTACCCCGGATCTTCACAGGTCGGTATATGTAAATTTCCAACAACGAAGTAGTATTTGCAGAGGCACCTTGCATCTTCAGCTGTTGTGGTGTAGGCTTGGTATTTGAAGAGGTATCATTTCAACCAGACACCTAAAACAAGATTTAAGGACATCCCATTACCTTTCATTCGGCCCAATCAGAGCGCTGCTTACCAGATCGGGAAAGTGACAGTCGGACTGCGTTTTCAATCATGCAACCTCGAAAAGGTTAATAAGGGGTTTTCAGAACGACAGTTACGGACTGTACGACTGATTCCGTCATCATCTGTCTCTCGCTTCAATGTGATAAACATTTGGACCGGAGGAGACTTTCCACTGCCGGTAGGAAGTACCGCCAGTCTCGGCCATCTCTTATACATTCCAGAATTTTCTTTTGTTCAGTTTTCAAATTTTGAATATTGTTTTCTGGAATGAGTCACCTGTTTGAAACTAGTGCCTTTAAAGTCGAGAAAGGTGCTTTCTGATTGGCTAATGTCGACTTCATGTTAGTCATTTCATTGGTCGGTCGAAATATCGCCCTGATTTAACATGTAATTTGATTTCCTTAGATCTTTGTTTAGCGGTAGATCTGGAGTTAGGTGTCATCTCTCGACGTCGCGTTGGTCACCAATTGAACATTACCCTCAGCCCTCTTCAGCAACCCATAGTTGTAAAATGTGACTATGCATGTCATAAGAGGCGACTAACGGGATCGGGTGGTCAGGCTCGCTGACTTGGTTGATGCAGGTCATCGATCCTAATTTCGTGGATCGATGCTCGTCACATCAATCACTGGATTGTCTCGTCCAGGCTCGATTATTTACAAACCGCCGCACTATCGCTGGATTATTGCTGAGTGCGGCGTTAAACAACAACAAACAAACAAACAAATGTACGAACGAACATTAACCAAGGATGAATACGTACAGTGTGGAGAGAAAAAAGAAGACTTAAGCAAGTTTTATGTTTTTTATTTGCATTAAAATACATAGGCATTAAAAGGGAGCCTCAATGTGCTATATGTACAAATCATGCCCTCTGCGAACGTGTATTTGACAAAACAAACATAACAATCTTCAATGTAAGCACGTCAAACATGCCTTATACTACCAATACTCTCTCACGCCCACATACGAGATCAACTATGCCTGATCTAAAAATCTGAAATCCAACATGTAATTCTTGGATGATGACGTGAATCCCCGATCGAAACAGCGACATGAAAACAATATACAATACCCCGTCTACTGTTTTCCACCAAACAATATCCACCTCTCGTATTATTTACCCGTTCTTTGTTTTGTTACCAAAACATAGGCAGTGTTCCATCACCCCATTTTGCTACAAACCTCTTTGCGAACACAAATGCTTTATGAAATGGCAAATTCCCACTTGGAATTCGTTGTTTTGAGATAAATCGCCCCTTTTCCCTTCCTGACCAAGACTTGAACAAAGAATTACTAGCATTTTGTCGCCAAGCTGAATTTTGTCTCCAAAGCAGTCTTCGTTCTTAGAAACGTACAAAAGGTAGAAAACTCAAAAGACAGAAAGGCTTGCATAATTGTCATTATTCTGAAATGAATAATATTGTCATAATATATACCTGTATATAGCCATTTGGTCTGACTCACAAATTGAGCAACTGTGTGCAACGTGCTTGGTTTAGATCAAGTATTAGTCTGCTACTGTCCTATATCACTACGAATGCACAGTGAAACGCCGTTAATCCGGTCGGTACACCCCCTTGTAAACCGTCCGCAGGTACAAATGACCGGATTAACGAATCAAAAGTACGGAGTTATCTCCTTTGTGTGTACAGAGTTCTATCCCGTGAGTGTGCGGAGTTATGTTTCGTGTGAATATTACTGTATCATAAACCCATCAGTCAACAGCTCTTACTGTTTCTGATCCCCTTTACAATGATTATAACTGAATCCTAAAACGCTTTGGCTTTTTCCGCTAAAGCGTTTGGTGTTGAACCAGACAAAGCAGTTGTCCAAGACACCGAGTTTGACTATTCGATACACAGCATCTGTCGTTATTACCTCCCTTGCCGTCCTAACATTATATGTCATTCTCGACCAATTCAACTAGCGGAATACAATGCTGAAAAATCCATAAACAAGACGCATAAAACTATGTACAAAGCTCCTCTGGACTCGACTGGCACAATAACTGTAGGCACACTTGCTGTCACTCGGCTCGCTTCTGTCCCATATGTTATCTCGGCCAACACTGGGTGGGAATCAATAATGAAATATATCAAACTGGTTTCAAAATCGAATGTCATACTTTTCGCACTACATGTGACAGGTGTCCGTATATAGATGACAGTGACTTTCACCACCCCAGGTAGTGCCAGGTGTGTGGAAAGCCCTATGCCGCAATACGCCGAATACAGCTTGCATGAACCTATTGCACATTGTGACTGCATCCGGGCAACCAAATAGTTGGAAATAATACCACCTAAGTATGGCACTGAATCGAGTGCGCATTGCATAAAATAACAAGGAAATATTTATGAGGTACAAAAGTCCTAGTAGAGAATTGCACCATGGTCACATAAACGCAAACAGTTAGGGAATTCAAATCCAAATGCCACACAGCTAGATTACAGGAGTTAAAGGACCGGGGATTTCCCTGCACAATAACAAAATGTGGGGCCAGTTTTTAGTTTTTATTTTATTTAATTTTACTTTATTTTTATTTATATATTTTTATTTTTTATGGGGGGGAACAAATATAAAAATAAAAATATTACATTCAACTCCTTAAAATATTTATAACTTTTGATAGGTTATACCTGTTAATCCATTATACACCATTTCTTATACAAGTCCTTGAAAGCTTTTCTTACAGTGTCCCTATCAAAAGTTGAGTTGTATATAACTGTGCACCATATTTCAGACAGAATACAAATTCAACATTAAAGAACATTTCACAAATGCGTAATTTTGGATAACATTTAACATTTGCCACTGAGAAATCTTGCCGCAGTGGAATACGGCGCAGCAATGCTGACTTCCAATGACTATTCTAACTCCGTGAATTTTCAATTCGTCACCACTCGCCATCTTCCCGGAACCAGCAATGGGCTTATTATGTCCGTTTGCGCGAGAACCAAGTTTATAAAATTGCCCCATTTGCGCGAAGACGGAACCAAGTTTATAAAGTTGCCACGAGAAGAGCACGAGTCGCCATTCGGCTAGTTCCGGACTGACACGAGTGCCTCGTCCTGTGACCAGCCCTCCGAACAATAACACGGGTACAAGGTAGCCAGGGAAATAGAAGCTCGCAGGTGTTATAAGCTCAGCATGTGGTCCATGAAAAACACCAATCTTTAACACACTTCCTTGGTCTGGTCCTCAGCGCACAGGGCATTCTTCAGACTCGTTGCCACCGTCATTGACAACTTGTGGCGCATGTCATACAACCTCTCGTCCGTCTGAGGTAGGAAAACACAGTTGTGGAGACCGGTCAGGGGGTACTTAAAGGGAACAGGTTCCTGGTTGCAGTCGTTAATGCCAGCAGCAGCAATGTGCCCGCCCCGAAGGGCTTCATACAGATCAACGTAGCTCATGGCGTTGCCGTTCTGGCAATCAATGATGACGGCGGTGTTCTTCATCTGCCGGAACACTTCCTTCGAGAACACCTGCGGTGGGTTGTTGTCGTGCTGTACACAAATACACATAATGTCTGACCGGCTGATTAGCTCCTTCCAGGAAACGATCTCAATGTCAGCGTTGCAGGTCTGCTTGCTGTAGAGATAATCTGCTGCTATGATGCAGGTCACGCCCAGGTCTTTCAGTCGCTTAGCAACGCCGTGACCGAGGATGGTTAGGCCGTATATACCAAAAGTCTTGTTGCGAAGGTTCTTCAGGCACACGGTGCTAACCGTGCCGTTTGCCAAATTGCAGTTGTCCAAGTAGGTTGCTGAAAAACAGAGAAATGCTCATGATATTAATCACTGAATTGTCTGTTCCAGACTCGATTATTTACAGACCGCCAATATATTGCTGGAATATTGTTAAACAACAAACAAACAAACAAAATAGGATAATATACATATTTCATTAACAAATTGGCAAAAAAATTTATTTCTATTGTCTAGCTACCGTTGTTAACATCATTCTTGGCTGCGTGTTGCAATCCCTTCCCAAAGAATATTAGTGAATGAGTATCACGGCGGGGAGGGTGGGGCAGGAGAAATGAGCTTCAAAATTGTACCCTTGTCTTCGGCGTGACGAGCGAACACTAAAACCGCTAGGCCTTTCCTATCCCCCTTCAAGAATATTAAATGGACCTGCGCTGACAGGGAAGGGCATTAACCAAGTAGCCAAGAACAACTACTTTCCCGCGCAGTGACAACGTACAGAAATCCCCCGGGAAGAAGGATATCCTTAACACTAACATACCTGGTCCGGGATTGCTGTTGCTATTTTCATCCAAGGCTACCATCCACAAATATTATTTGCTCAAAGTCATTAACAATTACATGATGGTATTAAGATAAGGCAAAAACAGTATAACGTTTCGGGTTTGGCCAAGGATAACGCGACGAAATGCGACGGCTGGGATTTACTTAAAAGGTAACATTGACAAACAGTCAAACATAATATGCATGATTCAGCAACTCTCACTCGAACTGTACAATATTTGTACTGTGGAGTGAAATCGTAGTTGTACTAGAATGCCTTTTTGCCCGCGACTCATAAAAGTTCAGTTGAGTTATATCTTCACTGCACTTGACAAGCCATAATGTCGTATATTCTCCCCACACCTTCAACACACACAACCTGCATAGACTCGACATGTATCCTGCGTCTAGTGCAGTTTCTTCTCTTAGTTTTAGGTAAGAAGGTTAGCGTGTTTGTGTGTGTGACAAACCATGTCAATTAAATCGAAACAAATGTACGTCATTGGAAAGCCAACATCAATTCACTCAAAATAACACCGACCGTTAAGATCAATATTTACAAACGAAAAGTTAGAAAAACAAGATAGATGTTCTAAAAAAATATTTACAAATCGAAGGACCCCATATGTACATGCAGAACATTCATTATTTTTCGTCATTTCACCCTATTTGTACACATGGCTGAGTGGTTTGAAAAGTATACTACTCAACTTTGGTAAGGATAATCGGGGCGGTCGGGTAGACTAGTGGTTAAAGCGTTCGCTCGTCACGCTGAAGATCCGGGTTCGATTCCCGACATGGGTGCATTGTGTGAAGCCCATTTCTGGTGTCCCCCGCCGTGATATTGATGGAATATTGCTAAAACCGGCGTTAAACCATACTCACTCTATCACTCACTAAGGATAATCAGACATAAAGACAGGAATATCCCTATCAAAACTGGAGTGGTGTATTTCAGTTGTATCCCGACCTGTATTTGACGTTTACCACTTTGGTGAAATCTTTTAGCACATCATAGTGCTGATAAACATAATCAAGGCAAATCTTGGATTTGAACCCGCAATCGCAATCGTAGGTTTCAATTGGCCGTAACAAGACTTTCTATTGCCTGCGAGTGAGTGAGTGAGTTGGGTTTAACGCCGCTTTTATCAGTATTCCAGTTATATCGCGGCGTGTCAGCATAATGTGGGAGGAAAGCCCGAAGTGATGCATGTCTCAGGTCACGGGTATGGTGCTGACAAACCTAGAAACATAATCGGGGCGAACCGGGATTCGAACCCACTATCATAGGTTTCTGGCGTGCCCAAGGGACGCAACTCTGCACAGCGAATCGCGGCGCCTTGACGACTTGGCTACCCGTGCCCACCTATTGGCTGCGAATAGACGACTGGGCCACTGTGTGTGACAGCTGTGTTATGAGAGTGTTTGTACTGAGAACGGAGCAACAGAGAACGCGCACTGGGATTTATCTTACCTTCGTTGGATGTCTTAAAGGCAAGAAGAATGAGTGCCAGAGTGAGGTCAGCTAAGCCCTGCGTTGATTGGACGGGACTGACGACAACCTGGATGCCACGTCTGTTGCATTCCTTGACGTCGATGTGATCCGTCATTGTCGACATGGTGGCAACCGCTCGCAGAGATGGCCCTGGTGGACGAAAACACAATTTGACAATACTTTACATTACAGGACAAACACAAACGGGCATGAAATACTCCTTTCCCCCTCCAAAATGACATGTCGGGTTGTGTGCAAGGCAAGAAATATTGGACGGTTTTCAATATCTGCTCCGGAAACGAGCATTACCCCCATTTTCAGTCAAAGTAATGCTATAGAAACTCGAAAAATAAATTTGTCAAAAATCCAAAAACTATCTAAAGGCACCAATTTACCACTAGACCTACCTATGTGCCAAGTTTGGTTAAGATATCTTTCACGAAACGAAACGAAACGAAACGGGACGGACAGACGGACAGCACTTCGTGGAGGGGGATAACAAACTGGTTTCCTCCAAGACATCCTGGTTTATCCAGCGTTAATATATACCCGTAGGCGTTTACCACTTGTATAATGCAGACAATCCTAGAAACATAATCAGCATCTGATTCGAAACCATAAACTCTGGTTTCGGGAACGGCAAAGGGACGTAACTCTGAACAGCGAGCGGCGACGCCTTAGACGACTGGGCCACCCCTGCCGTATTTGTATTGACCCTTATGTTAATACTCGTATAACATTAGTAACTGCATGGATGAGTGAGTGAGTGAGTGAGTGAGTGAGTTGGGCTTAACGCCGCTTTTAACAGTATTCCAGTTAAATCACTTAATGTGAGAGGAATGACCGAAGTTATGCAGTTTTCAGACGTTTACCATTTCGGTGAAACCCACGAGCACGGGTATGGTGCTGACAAACCTGGAAACATAATCGGGGCGAACCGGGATTCGAACCCACAATCAAAGGGTTCTAGCGTGCCAAAGGGACGCAACCCTGCACAGCGAATCGCGATGCCATAGACGACTGGGCCACCCGTGCCCCCTGACATGGATGAGAATGGTCTAATCAAGAATCCATCTCTGGAACAAAACCAACAGATGTCACCACTCAGATGTTCTCGTAGGTTCTCGTAAGTTCATTGTGAGATCATGCACATCGCTAATTGAACATCTGTTCGTTAATGACGGCATGTCAGGATACAGTCCGAGCAAGAACAAACTAGGTTTGACGACGGAAATACACTGCACTAAGCTCGGTCGAAAACGGTATCATTTAAAGAACTCACGTTAACAAAAATCTAGTTGCGGGTTGAAATGGTCTCGGAACACGGCTTCATTGCCTGGCGTGAACCTGGCGCAGGTGAGCGGTCGTTGATATCGTTTTTGTTTGTTTGTGTGTTGTTTAACGCCGCACTAGGAAATATTCCAGCTATATTACGGCGGTCTGTAAATAATCGAGTCTTGACCAGACAATCCACGCAATTGGAATACGATAACATGTATCAACCAATTCAGCGAGCCTGACCACCCGATCCCGTTAGTCGCCTCTTTCGACAAGCAAAGTCACCTTTTACGACAAAAATGGGTTGCTGAAGACCTATTCTCCCCCCAAGGCGTGGCAGCTTGATGTGGAAGGAAATCCCAAAATGACTCTCAGTCTCAGTTCGTATTTGTATATTTGAATATACCGCAAGCCATCTATTTGATGTTGTCACTTCCTACCTAGAACACTTCGCCGAACCCTTTGCATAAACGAATTGATTTTGTACATAATCATATGTAAATGTATGATAAAGAATTTTCGTGACCCTAAACATTTTTTCATTATTTTGTTTATATTTTTTAAGATTTTGCAAACACAAAACTATTTTAAGTCGCAAATACAAGAGATGGTGAACCGTCCCTGTGTGTTAAGTAGGGAGAATTTACGTTTCAAGGTTTTACATTTGTTATGAAATAATTTAGTTTTCCGGTAGACAACTACACACAAGATGTGGAGCTGGATTACCTGCAGATGTACCCGCGCAAAATTAATATTTGAAACCTCACGCTGCGTGTTCGGTTCTAAATCAATTTAGCGCAATTAAATCTAAAGGTGGCCAAGTTCTACATTGAAAACGCAGTATGTGTATCGCCTTACCACCACAGCAAGAAGAATCTTGAATGGGTTTTTTAATCCATGTCAACAAGTTAGTGAGTTGGGTTTATCGCCGCTTCCAGTATTTCAGTTACATCACGGCGAGTATAACAGTCATATCAGGGCGAGTATTTCAGTTATATCACGAGTATTACAGTCATATCAAGAGTATTTCAGTTATATCACGAGTATTTCAGTTACATCACGGCGAGTATTTCAGTCATATCACGAGTATTTCAGTTATATCACGAGTATTACAGTCATATCACGGCAAGTATTTCAGTTATATCACGAGTATTTCAGTTATATCACGAGTATTTCAGTTACATCACGGCGAGTATTTCAGTCATATCACGAGTATTTCAGTTATATCACGAGTATTACAGTCATATCACGGCAAGTATTTCAGTTATATCACGAGTATTTCAGTTATATCACGAGTATTTCAGTTACATCACGGCGAGTATTTCAGTTATATCACGGCCTGCAGCTTGTTGTCGAAAGAAAGCGGAAACTTTTCCAGGTCTTAGACGTGTACCCCACGGTATTATGCTGACAAACCTAAGATTTGTTTCTTTGTTTGTTGTTTAGCGCCGCACTGAGCAATATGACGGCGATCTGAAAAAAATCGAGTCTGGACCAGACAATCCACGCAATTGGGATACGATGATATGCATCAACCAATTCAGCGATCCTGACCACCCGATCCCGTTAGTCGCCTCTTACGGCAAGCATGGGTTGTTGAAGACCTATTCTACCCCGGATCTTCACGGGTCGACAAACCTAAAAACATAACCAAGACGAACCATGTCGAACCCATGATCAAAGATTTCTGGCGCGCCAAACGGCAAGAAGAAACACTCTTTCGTACATGTTGCTCTCGTCGTTTGTGAAGAATGGAGAGTCCGCATTCCATCCCGTCCTACACAACTGTTTCATTGATCAAGGTTAACATCCAACACTTGTTACAGCTACCAGACATCTCGTGATAAGAAACCCGACAACCTGGTTGTCGCCTCGATTTGATAACACGGTTCTACGGTAACGCTCGGGTAGCTGTGCACTTTCACGTGCACAGACGCGATAACGGGTTTTCGTCTGCATATTTGCTCGATATCTGATAATAATCACGCCCCAGCTGCCCGACCTTCCACAGATGGTCGTCTGATGGTCAAATGATGTCCAAAGTTCACGTCTGTCTGTTAAAGGTATGTTGGTTGGGTTCAAGTCTTGGTCCTTGAGGTCACTTGCCGCAATTGTTAACTTACGGCTGTATAGGTGTAACTGTGCGGCTATCACGATGCCACCTGTATCCTACATCCTACATCTATGGCCTACTGACACGCTCACGTAATACGAATGACACACACATGGGTGTGTGTTCGAGGGATTGACAATCATAGCGCGAAGCTAAGGCGACAAACAAGATCAACTTTAGGTCAGAGGGTTGTAATTGACTGACATTTAGTCCCCAAAACAAAATAATCTTATTTTGAAATATATGTCTACAAAATAAAAAGAACATAATCCAAATGGAGCCCAGAACAATCCTTAATTTCAGAGCTGAGGCAATCTAGACTTGCCAAATCATTCAAGACTTGAGTTGGACTCGTTTCTAATTCTCTAGGGTGGGGAGGACATACTAGGGCCAGTTCCACCTCTGTGTGAAGATCCGACACACCCCCATGGGATGTCGAGTCGGGTTAACTTTCTAAACAACCAATCAACATCGATGTTTCGAATACCTTGGAACGATCGTGTGAAGCATTTGGTGCAGCATATCTGATTGCAGTTTCTCAAAAATGAACATATACGGACAGTTCCGAAAAGCAATATTCCAGCTATATGACGGCGGTCTGTAAATAATGGAGTCTGGACCAGACAATCCAGTGATTGACATTAATGAGCATCGATCCACGCAATTGGCATACGATGACATGCATCAACCAAGTCAGCGAGCCTGACCACCCGATCCCGTAAGTCGCCTCTTACCACAAACATTGTCGGCTTTTACGGCAAGTATGGGTTGCTGAAGACCTATTCTGCCCTAGATCTTCACGGGGGTTCCTTCTTAATTATACAGATATATAACAAGTCACGTGTATCAGCATGTGGTTATAAAAATCGGCCTTCCGAATCCTTCCGAAAAGACACAACATGAATGTATGTATTGTTCATTTTTATTCTATAGAGCGAAGTGCTGAGGATTATGGTTTACTATGAAAACCTTTTCTAATTCTCGAGAGGGAGGATAATTTAGAAACGGCGAGAAATGAGAAGCACAGAATACAGGCAGCCTGGTAGATAATGGACATCCACCTGTTGAGACTGTGCAGGAGTTTATCCCACACTGTCGGTACAGAGGACATCGCACGGTTAACTGAACACTAACACGTCGCTCAAAGCTGAAAACGTTCTGGTTCGCATGACTTCTCTTTTATGCGCGTATGCGTATGAGTTTTTCATTATTTCGTTGTGCGGGGATATTAACAGTTGGGGCATTTTTATTGCTATGGGACGGTTTTCAGCTGAGATATCAATCTCTCCCCTTTCGAATTTAAAGCCTGTGCGAGCAAACATTTGGGTCATATCATTGCACTTTTCGAAGACAATTAGCCTACATTCTGAATCATGTCATCAACATACATACGTATGAATAAAAGACAACGATATACGTGATGTTTTAAAGTAAAGTCTTAAAGACAAATTCCAACTTGACTCACTCTCTGGACCATCGCCTAGTTGCTGATCCCAGACTAACATTGTAAATGAAATCTTTTGTTACAAAATACATTGCTTTCTGAATAACAACTTCCGGCGATAAACTTGCGGTTGTTATCCATAAAGTTGTATATACGTTTTCTTACTTACACACCAACTTCTAGAATGCCCATCAAACAGTTATTTTCCTGAAGCTGATTTGTGAAATAGAGCTGGCTAGACTTGCTTTTGCATAAATCTAGATAGGTTTTGTTTACATGAAATACATATATTCCAAGGTCATGGTGCAGGACTATGCTGACCCGTGTGTGTCTTCGTATCACAAACCCGTAGGAATTCAGACTAAAGTTCACGTGTCAAGCAACCTATGCCTTTGTTTGTTTTCGTTGTTTGTTGTTTAACGCCGCATTCAGCAATATTCCAGCTATATGACGGCGGTCTGTAAATAATCGAGTCTGGGCCAGACAATCCAGTGATGGACATCATGAGCATCGATCCACGCAATCGGGATACGATGACATGCATCTACCAAGTCAGCGAGCCTGACCAACCGATCACGTTAGTCGCCTTTTACGGCAAGCTTGGGTTGCTGAAGAACTATTCTACCCCGGATCTTCACCATTGTCCACAGAAGGGACTAACTGGATCTGGCCGCCCGGGTCCGCGACTTGGTCTATTGCATGTCACAACATCCCAACTGGATCGATGCTCACTGGATTGTCTGGTCCAGACTCGATCATCTACAGACCACTGTCATATAGTTTATCAATTGGGCGTTAAACAACAAACAAAACAAACATTATATTACAGACTTTCAAATGACTTTCCATTTTGCAACATCACCAGAAAGGGGCTTCAGGTTTCACACCCTAGCGGCGAAATATAACAGGCCTTCGGCGTGGCGAGAGAACGTTTTAACCTAGGCTTCCTTAACGCGCTATTTCCGACTTGTAAACAGACAAAAGGTTTAAGAAAAAACATTGCTTATCTGATCGGTGACTTAAATAGTATTCACCCAATAGGGATGACAATGCATTTCAAGTCATTTAAAGTTGGAAATAAAGTGGTCATAATGACAGAGCAAAACTGATGGCACTTGATAAGTAATGACGAAGCGAGAATGCTTATCTGGCAGATGTACTATATATGGTCGTCAAACAAGGGAGCAGTGTAGGTTTAATAGGTTAATTAATATTCCAACAACTCTATTTATCTATTTATCCCCCTTCGGATAGGATATTGTATTCGCCGTATTCTGCATTGATACATTGTATGGTGCATTTGTATGGTTCTGTGTTGACAGTGTCCGTTAACATACACGCGGTATTCTGTATGGAAACACTGAAGTGTATCGTCGTCTTACGCAGTGGTCCCTCTTGGTGGTGTTTCGTACGTATACAGTAAACTACGGTTATAACGAACTCAAATGGACCACTAATTTTAGTTCGTTGTAACCGTAGCTCGTTATAAGCATATATACAACATCTATACAGCAAATGGCCGGGCCCAATAATAAAGTTCGTTATATCCGTCAGTTCGTTATAAGCGTGTTCGTTATAGACGTATTTTACTGTATATACACGCCGTGTATTCACCATGATACATTATATGATACATTATATGCTATATTTACTCAATTTTTACTATTGATAGTGGGTGACGATGGTTTTACACCTCTTTTTATTCAGGAATATCGTTGTTGTTGGTTTGTTGTTTAACGCCGCACTCAGCTATATTCCAACTCCAACTGACATTCTCCGTCAGGACCTCGTGGGGGGTTTATATCCATAACAAAACAGCCAGCCGCCGACCAACGTTTCCCAGTTACATGCATTGTGGGTCGCCTAATTCAGGCAGTATTTGACACTGAATGATTGTTTGTTTTGTTTGTTTGTTGTTTTACGCCGCAATCAGCAATATTCCAGCAATATGACGGCGGTCTGTACATAATTGAGTCTGAACCATACAATCCAGTTATTAAACAACATTGGCATCGATCCACGCAATTGGGATCGAATACATGCATCAACCAAGTCAGCGAGCCTGACCACCTGATCCCGTTAGTCGCCTCTCACGACAAGCATAGTCGCCTTTTACGGCAATCATGGGTTGCTGAAGACCTATTCTATTATGTCTACCCCGGATCCAGACTCGATTATTTATAGACCGCCGTCATATAGCAGGAAAATTGCCGAGTGCGGCGTTAAACAACACACACACAAACAAAACTGAGTGAGACCTAGGTCAGGACGACCCTAGAGCAGAAGCCTTCAGCAAAGTGACTTATCTGTTGAAATGGTAATTTGTTTTGTTGGCTGTCAGATTGGCACGTGAGAACGTTGCCAGAATATGCCCCCCTCACACTGCGGAACTACATCGTTGAATAACAAACTGTGGGATTCACATTACACACTTGCTGGTCTCATCCCTGTCAGAATTCGGTCAGACTCGGTACATAACCGGTATACCACATGCTCGCGAAGGCGACTAGCACAGAGTACCAGACGGTCACATCATGTGACCTTGACGGGTGTGGACTACTTGTGACCAACGCATCCACGCACTCGACCGGGACGCCCCTGACTGGCGTCACACGTTTCATAATGTGATGAGTCGAACCTGGGTCTTCGGCGTGACGAGCGAACCACTTGACTACCCAGAGTCTTTCACGACACGTATATTCGTGAACAGAGAACAGAGCGCCATCGAACGAAGGATGTCTGTCTGTCTGTTCGTTGGTTTAACGCCGCACTCAGCAAAATTCCTGCTATATGACGGTGGTCTGTAAATAATCGAGTCTGGACCAGACAATCCAGTGATTGACGCCATGAGCATCGATCAACCGCAATTGGGATCTTTCGTCAAGCATAGTCGCCTTCTGCGGCAAGCATGGGTTGCTGAAGACCTCTTCCTGCCCGGATCTTCACGGGTCGAACGAAGGAGGTAACGTTATAATGTCGAGTCGCAGTATATGCTCAGGAATGCTTGATACCTTGTGACACAATAAGACATCTAGCTGCTAGTTCCTCGAAAACAAAACGTGCACCTTCCAAATACATGATATGTCGTTGCCACGCGACGTCTATATATAACAGATTACCGGGACCTGGCTAGGTCGTTCAGAAACAAGCAGAACAGGTACACAGGTAAACAAGGCAAAAAGAACCCCTTTCTCCCGGGTAGGAATTAGAAGTAAGCTGATGAATGTTTGCAGGTCGGATGCTATGGTCAAGGTCAACTGCGGAACAAGGTTCAAGGATGTCCAGGAAAGAGAGTCAATCATGAGGTGAGGTTGTTTGTTTGTTTGTTTGTTTTTAACGCCGCACTCAGCAATACCCCAGCCATATGAAGGCGGTCAAAATAATCGAGTCTGGACCAGACAATCCAGTGACTGACATCATGAGCAAATCCTGATAACCTGATCCCGTTAGTCGCATCTTAGAACGAGCATAGTCGCCTTTTCGGCAAGCATAGGTTGCTGAAGCCCTATTCTACCTCGGATCTTCACGAAAAATGGATTTAACATTGCATTCATCTCGTGTCTGTGTATGTGCGCGCGTGCGTGGTTGTGGATACTAGTCCGGTTTTATAATATTTGTACACTGAGATACCATGCCGCTGTTTAACATGGAAACCCGACCCAGACACAGCATACTGACACCGAGCCAGGCCTTGTTTTTGGCTTGACGAGTGATCACGTGGCTAACCACGCACGCCTATGTTTTTAACCGCATGCTAATACACGTGACTAACCTATCTACATTATCATCAAGGAAACTAAATTCTTTACCTCATACATTCTTTACCTCTGATTTATGATATATTTGTCTATGTTCAAGGAACCTTGACAAACTACATCCAGAGTATTTTGAACTTAATTACAGTCATTGGGCATATGACCCGTGAAGATCCGGGCTAGAATAGTTCTTCAGAAACCCATGCTTGCCGTACAAGGTGACTTTGCTTGTCGTAAGAGGCGACTAACGGGATCGGGTGGTCAGGCTCGCTGACTTGGTTGATGCATGTCATCGTATCCCAATTGCATGGATCGATGCTCATGATGTTAATCCCTGGATTGCCTGGTCCAGACTCGATCATTTACAGACCGCCGTCATATAGCCGGACTATTGCTGAGTGCGGCGTTAAACAACAAATAAACAAACAAACAAACATTGGGCATATACATGAGACGTGTGCATAGCTAATGCGAAAAGAATTCTGAAGTAACATGTTATTCAGTAAAAAGAATGTCAAACACTTTTTCTTTTATTGTTCTCAACCTAATTTTAAGAGAGCTTCAAGCAAATGAAGCTTTCGCGCCTTTCGTGACCTGGGTTGCGTTCGGCTAAGCTATCGTAGCGCTCAGGTCGATCGTAACTCCCATACTTATACACACTTACGACTGTCGTTGCGTCACGATCGCTTCGTGGAACGGACCCAGCTCGAGTCATGACGGGACAAAATCGTGTTTTCTAGGGAAAAGTGCGAGTGGTGATGAATGATCTCGCACGTTTTCGCTTAGCATCAAGGGGAATAAATAACTCACCTGCCGCGTCTAAAACCTCTCTGTCGATCTGGTCACTTCGCATGCACAGGATGCCCTCCACACCCACCACGCTCTGCAGAAGTTCCCCCCGGGGGACCCGCTCCTCGCTGTTCCACATGGACACGTTACATCCCTCCAGCAGAATGTCAACACCTCGCTGGGGCACCGTGCGTGTCACGTACACCTGCAATTGAACATGGAGGTCCGGTTAGAAGAAGAAGAAATAGAAGAAGAAGAAGAAAAATTGTTTATTTTTGTCTCACCCATGGTCACAAAATACATTACACCACAAGATAAAAAATGGCCACCCATTCAGGGTTATGAGAGACATTTAACATATAAACAAATTATAAATTAAATCACATATTTAAAAACATATAAGTATTGGGTCACACGAGCAACCTGCGCTTACAATATCAAATATTACCCACGATCTAAATATAACCTACAATACAATGCTTAAAGACGACCCGCAATGTAATATTCAGACACAGACCGCTGGAAACAGTGCAAGTGTACAAGTAATAAATTAATATTATATTATTATGATAAATTTACATCCATACGTCGTCGAAACATCAGGGACACTGTTGCAGCTAGGCAATGTTGTATCTCCTCGTTTTGCATAAGGTAAACAAACTGATTATTTTTGTCTAAACTGAGAAAATTATTGTCGGTGGTGTGAGCGTCCATCAGTAAGTTACAACGGATATCCGAGTATGGTCTGCAGTTCATTAGGAAATGAAATTCGTCTTCTACGATATTTTGATTACAATAGTTACAGGTTCTTTCCTCTAGAGGAACTGGTGGTCGACTAAATCTTCCTAATTCAATTTGAAGAGGTAGAGTGCCACATCTCAATTTAGCGAGATTACTTCTATGTTGTCTGCTTCTGATTAATTTAACGTATGGTTCTGTTAGAATTGGTCCATTGCAACCTATGCCTGTCGTATTGCATCCGATGGTCAGGCTCGGTGAGATTATGGCGTGACAACGTCCACCCACGGCGTGGATCGGTGTTCATAACATCAATCACTGGATTGTCTGGTTCAGACTCGACTACTTGCAGGCCGACGTCAAAACGCTGGAATATTGCTTTCAGGGACAGAACAGTTCGTATGGTAAAAACTAATGATACCCGGAACAATTAATGGAGGAAACACGGTATTTTCAGCCAACAACCAACAAGTATTTTGCTTACAGAGATACACTCATCCTCGATTATCCAGGGTATTATCTCTCTGCTTAGTATGATACATACCCTGGACCCGTTCCTTACAATAACTAGGTGACATGTACCACACGCTTATGAGAGACACATCATAGTGCAAACTGTTATTATATTTCCGACGTTAATTTTCCAATCGCTAACATACATATTAAAGAATTATATGACCATTACAATAAGTTAATCATCATTAAGTGTTCAAGATCAATACGACCCGTGAAGATCTGGGGTAGAATAGTTCTTCAGAAACCCATGCTTGCCGTAAAAGGCGGCTATGCTTGTCGTAAGAGGCGTTTAACGGGATCGGGTGGTCAGGCTCGCTGACTTGGTTGATGCATGTCATCGATCCCAAATGCGTGGATCGATACTCATGATGTCAATCACTGGATTGTCTGGTCCAGACTCGATTATTTACAGACCGCCGTCATATAGCTGTAACATTGCTGAGTGCGGCGTTAAACAACAAACAAACAAACAAAACAAAGATCAATGCAGTGAACACAAGTTGTCTGGACCTCGTTATTCCGGATACCCATCGTTTATGGACGATTACTCTGAGAAAACATGCGGGGACATGATTCGTCAATAGGGACGCATTCGGGCCCACTCGGGTTATTCCGGTAGTATGGTTGACTGATTTCAACATCATTACGTCCGATCCCTCCAAAAGTAATTTGTTCAATCGATTTCGAAGAAAGCTTGTAAAATTTCACATGATTTAGGTATACAGATATCAAGCAACCTTTGTGTAATGGGTCACGACAGCTGTCACATTGTGTGGGTTAATGTGATAGATAGTCACGTGAACCAGTGAAATTCCTTTATTGATTATCAATGGATATGGATTCCTCTCAATCCTGGCAGAGACATCACAGATAAAGGACGATTAACATCTATATTAACTATGTTTTACTGTTTATGTTTTTCTGTGATTTGGAGATTAATGGACCTCTCATTACAGCATATAAAATTTGACCATAAGGAAGTTGTGCGTTGTTCAACACTCAGTAATATTTCAGCTATGTGACAGACCGCCTCCGTGGTCTAGTGTTAGAGCGTCCGCCCGGAGAGCAGAAGGACCGGGCCGGGGTTCGATCCCCAACCGCGTCATACGAAAAAACGTTAATAGATGGTACTTGTTTTCACCCTGTCCGGCGCACGGCATAAAGGGCCTAAAACAAGGACTGGTCGGCTCGGAGTCAGTATACTGTGTTTGGGTGGGGTATTCATGTTAAACTGTGGCATGGAATCTCACTGAGCTAGCACCATAAATCGGCATCAGTCCGGGCTATTTCAAGCAGCCACACACACGTGCATGCACGTCGCTATGCAAGTACAATTATCTTGGACGCGACGTTAAACCCACCTCACCTCTGGTATATGACGGCGGCCACTAATAATCAGTATCTTGTCCAGAGAGTCCAGGTTCATGCTTCCCCAAAACATTTTAAATTTATACTAGAACGCTATTCCCTGCATTTTGGGACGGTTTATGTTAGATTTTATTTGTTAGAAATAGTGGTAATTTATTTATTGTTTTATTACTTATATATATACGTGTCCCCTCCCAACCACCCACATTTTTCGACTTTCATTCAAGAAACATCTCTGATGACATATGAAATCTGAACATTTAAAACGAATCGATATTACTTTTGTCTGTTTTTACATGCTCATTCGTGTGTGTGAAGATTCCGATTTCAAGTTAGACAAAACAAATCATGTTCAACCGTGCAGATTTTGAGTTAATAATTTACTGCATAGATGATTAATTGAGGATTACTTATTAACAATTGTGTTGGTTTTTTAGGTAAAAAATAGGTGTGCTTTTTTTGGTTAGGTTTAAGCAATAATAATGTGCGTGGGATGAACGTGCTGGCTCGTAACCCTGGGCGACAGATGTTGCATGTCACCCTAGGTGGCTTGCACAGTGCATGATATTCATTCCATCATGAGCAACATGCTTGTCTTAAGGTGCGACTAACGTGTTCGGGTGGGCAGACTCGCTGACATGGTTGATGCACGTCATCGTATACCAATTGTGTAGATCGATGTTCATGATGTCAACCACTAAATTGTCTGGACCAGACTACATTATTTACAGACCTCACTCATATAGTTGGAATATTGCGGAGTGCGGTGTTAAACTACATGCACAAGCTATTCAAAGTTGAATGAGAAGAGTGTCACTTCATCGAAGATTTTCGCGTGAAGCAACATAAGTGTTTGATTTAATTTGTACACAAAGATTTGACTCCTTAAAACCAAAAGAAAACACCGTCCGCTCAACACTGTATATACGCATTAAAGTTGGCAACTGTTGACAATTTGTTTGGTGTTGGCAAAAGAACAGATCTTAATTATAAATAATCCTCTTACGTTGACATAAACGTTCACATTGCAACAAATACACACAGTGCAAATTCACACATACATTTGCATCTGCTCCAGACATGATGCAAATTTGCTCCTGGTGTAAATATATACACATGAGTAAACGCGTTCACGTGAAAAGTATACTCACGTACGTATTTCTACACACGTATGCACATACACACACACACATGTATAGAGGCGCATGTGAACAGGGTAATAGTTTACAATTCGAAAGAGCTTTGATCAAGTCGACACTCTGACGTCACATGGACACAATTTATAAGTACGACTGGTATAATAGTTACGTATTTATAACATGTAACGCTTTGAAACGTGCTTGACATTGACACCTTCGTATTATGTACATGACTTGTGTGTATATCGCCTGGGATATGTTCCCGAAAGCAACAATTGCCTGCGAAAGTACCCCCCACTTGACAATTTGTAAAACATTACACAATTAATCCCTTGTGCGAGATTACCTGTAATCCCGCGTGACAGCTGTTCCAGACACGTCACAAAGCTAGCGTTTTAATTGCTACTTTCAATATCAAACAAGATGGCGATATGTCTATTTACGAAATAAGGCGCAATGGTTTCTCGTGTTGTGGCATTAATTGTACTCGGGCGGTAAATAAATTGTATAACTCTTTCTGACAATAACACCTACTTGATCTACAGGAAATTACACTATTCACAGTGAACTGTTGACAAAACGACGTTTGGTTTTATAACAGGTTGACAGCGACCGTGCAAGCAATGTTATCCATGATAAATACCGTTGAAACGTACCTACACTCCCAACAACCCTGCAAACAGCTCAACTCATTGGTTTTTTTTACACCTAAGTACACATTATAGAGTGTATGACGCCAGCTTCCTCTGATAAACTTGCCTGTTTTTTTACACCTAAGTTCACATTAACGAGTGTATGACGCCAGCTTCCTCTGATAAACTAGCCTGCTGACCGCCTACTGTACAAAAACATACCTGACGCTCCCAAAAATACAATATATTTTCATAATTATTGAAAACACATGTAGATTTGTATATAATACAGATAATAATTGAAAATGACTCCAAAACATTTGTAATGCGCATAGCCAATCTCGTGGAAGTGTCGAGGAAAATTATGGCATAATACATGCATTTTTAATGCTGCACTCAGCAGTATTCCGGCTATATGGCGGCGGTCTGTAAATAATCGAGTCTGGACCAGACAATCCAGTGATTGACATCATTAGCATCGATCCACGCAATTTGGATAAGATGACATGCATCAATGAAGTCAGTGAGCCTGACCACCCGATCCCGTTAGTCGCCTCTTACGACAAGCATAGTCGCCTTTTGCAAGCATGGGTTGCTGAAGACCTATACTACCCCGGATCTTCACGGGTGATATAACCAGTTATATATGCTCTATCATAAATAATATGAAATACACGTATATACCTAATGTGTTATCACAGGATTGATTCATCAACAAGGAGCTAGGCGACATCGCTTACATATGTCATTGACAAGTCACAATACACAACGCGATAACACTACAATCAGAACAGAAGACAGCTTAAAATTTAGCCTATGACATGACAACTCTGAGTTTTTGGCACATGACGATTCGAATATTATTTTTTAAATCCAGATATAGATCTAGTTGTTTGCGTATGGTTGTTACAATATCATATAGATCTACATATGTCCAATCAGACGTGGCAAGCTTCAGCAAAGTGTGACGCTCTCTTCAATCAAATGTTCTTTCAGCTGACTGTGACTCGTCAATTTTCCTGCCATTTTTCATGCTAAAGTTTTAATGAATAAATCTGTTTTCACGTCATCGCATGAAGGTAAGTGGATATATATATATGGATTTTCCAATAAAATTAACATTAATTGCTCTTTCAGAACCAATACGATGACTAATTTCAATTTCATAAACAAACAACGAAATCACGAATCGTACCTTAGCCCGAGTTTGTCGTCTCAATGGATCAGCCATTGTTGGAAGCCGATCAGTCTCGCCTCGATGCTGTATATTTCTGTCAGTTCCTTTAAACAAAGACTGACAGTTAGGGTGAAATGGACTTCTGACAAACTTGGCTTCTTCCGACTATCTATCTTCAGCCCACGGCAGCTCAAGCAGCGAATAAGCCGTGAAACTGAGAGAAATTTCACTGTAAACAAGTCGCCCCAGCTGTCTCGGAGACCGAGCTTGGTTTCCGATCAATCGCCTGATGTTCTGGTTTGTCCCGTGTGTTCTCATTGACTAGCTTAATCAGTTGAGATAAGGATGACAGTACCTGATGGTGAACCAGCTTATTGAGTCTATTCACCCGAATTGCGTCAGCATTCAACACGTCAACACATCGAACCAAGCTCAACAACACTGATGAACCTTGTGTGTCACGGTCGGTTAAATGCGGTCAGTTTGACCCATATAGAAAGCTCCTCACACCGTATAAAAGGCTTCGCTCAATACTTACGGCTTCGGACATGAAAAGCCTGGCTGTGTTGTAAGTAGCTGAGACGTCTTGTTTAAATATAGCACATCAATATGTTGTGTTCCCTGATTAGATTGCTAGTCACTGCATATGCTGCAAAACACTTATATGCACCGACCTCATAACATAGTGTTATGATTTGCAACTATAAAACGGCACGACATGCAATGATAACTGTCATTGGTCATTTGTTGGCGCAGATAGCACGAGGAAGGTTGCGTATTAGACTGGTCCCCTGCCTCTGTTGCGCACGTCACATAAAGCTGTGTGCAGCCAGCTGCAAGAGGACTTGGGACCAGTCCAGGTTACTGAGGTTTTCGTTTGTGGGACTGTGTATTTTACCCAACAGTGATTACTTCCCTTTGTCGCTTTTATTTTTCCTGAAATTCATCTTGCCTGTTACAATTACCGTTTACATATTATTTGAAGGAATCTGATGCACGAAGGCGAACATTTCAGGTTGTAGAAATTAGAAATAATGATACGGTGACACTCAGAGACAAATCTACAATTGTTAACTGACATAGGTTCACCTACTTTTTTTCCCAGCCAGTTAAAATGAGGATAAACAACATGTATGGGTGCATTCGTCCCGAGACTTCGATGTGATACCCGAGGCTATATATGGCGTGTGGGGGCACATCATCTGTAAAGGACAGTGTGTGCGAGTGTGTGTTTATGTTTGTGTGTGTGTGCGCGAGTGAGTGAGTGAGTGAGTGTGTGCGCGCGCGCGCGTGGACAAGTACAGCACAAACACAAACACACGCACATGCTCACACACGGATGCCATGGTGCTCAGAAACGACAGAGTGTGTGACATATCCACAACAGTATAATGGCGCGGCTTTATTTTTTGCAGTCGAAGTCCTCGATCATATTCGTTTTCGAGATGCAGAAATCACGTGTCCTTGTCTGCTTGCTTCGCTCCCTCGTCCCGTGAAGTCAGAAGCCTTGCCGTTGGCTGACTGATTGGTTTAAAGTTCACCTGACGCAACCTCCTATCGATGGACAGACAGACAGACAGACAATAGTATATTAACGTCTCACTTCTGTACATACATAAAACAGCTTTGTACAACTTGACATAGATAGAATGTACAGAACCATTCAATAGAATTATGAGAGACAAATTATCATAAAATTTATACATAAATGATATAAAGATGATATAGTAAAACGCTATCCATATAAAAGACGTTTTCTACGATAATGAATTAGAAAGCAGACTTTGGCAAGTATAAAACACACACTGGAGTCACTGAAAATTAAACAAAGTTTGTCGATATCAGGTATATCTAAAACAATCCAGTGATGGATATCAGGAGCATCGATCCACGCAACTTGGATTCAATGGCATGCATCAACCAAGTCAGCGAGCCTGACCACCCGATCACGTTAGTCGCCTCTTACGACAAGCATAGTCGCCTTTTACGCCGAACAATGGTTGCTGAAGACCTATTCTACCCCGGGTCTTCACGGGTATGTACAATATGCACAAACAGCTGTTTCATCACACATTTGACACGTGCAGGTTACACAATGTAATGCAAACAATGCTTACAAACATTCAGTTATTTACAATATAATATTACCCTGTTATGGTAACATTATGTGTCTATAATTCTGAATAATGCCCCTGTAAAGGCACGATAACGTAAGTTGTACTCTTGTGTGAGAGAATCCCACGACACGTCTTATACTGTCCAAACTGAAAAGACAAACTAGCCATCAGAATCTCCCATGTCCCAATCACTGACAAGGTCTTCACTTGAAACACGTGCTTTCCGCGAAGTAGGGTGTGTTTTATCGACTATCCCCTTCTGATCGAGGGTCACAATGCATGTAATGCAATGCATGTGTACAAGTGTTATCTTTCAGTGGAAATTTTGGGACCAGCCATGCAATTAAATGTTTCCCTAATGCAAAAACGTATGCAAAATTAGTGTGTACCCCTACCGGGATGCGAGTTTCTAGGGTCAAAGAATGTCTTACCTCGCCAGCCTCGATGATTGTGGTTCCGCGACGAAATCAGAAATTGTGCCAACTGACGTAAAACTGCTCCCGGTTAACATCGTTTGTATTTTGTAGTAGTCATTGGACCTTCCTGTACGCCCAAGTTCCAGGTGATTGTTGGTAAAATACCAAGTGTGATTCTGTGCCAACGAACCATGAACGTTGCTCAGGGGGGTGGTGGGGTATACGTAGTCAAGTGGTTAAAGCCTTCACTCGTCATGCCGAAAACCCGGGTTCGATTCCCAACATGGGTACAATGTGTGAAGCCAATTTCTGGTGTCCCCCGACTTGATATTGCAGCATAAAACAATACTCCCTCACTCAATCGTTGCTCAACTATGCTGATTTTCCGTACCCTGATTGAATTATGAACAGAACGCCGATCGGGAGTGGGGCGCTCATTCACTCACTCACTCTGCCTCTCTAGACAGCAGGGTCTTGGACGTGGCATGTGCGTTATTTCGCCTTGAGGCGAGGTATACATTTCAAGTGCGATATCAGTTCTTACTAGAAGCGCCCTTAAAACTCATAGTCAATCAGTATTGTCGAGCTTTTCGATCTCACTGCCCCTTTCTTACCTACTTCACATGTCATCGATCCCAATTGCGTGGACCGATGCACATGATATCAATCACTGGATTTTCTGGTCCAGGCCCGATTATTTACAGACCGCCGTCATATAGCTGGAATATTGCTGAGTGCGGTGTAAACCAACAACCAACCAACTTGACTACTTCAACGCACCCTTATTCCATCCTACCCTCTTCAACGTCTCTATTTGTTAAATGTTCATAATCGGCAGGAAGAGAGGGTTAGGCTTAACAATTTAACCACTGGGTCAACCCAATGACCATGTCATCAGAACAACGATGTGTTTACGTGTATGTCTTACTACATAGCCGAGCCGACACCGAGGTTTACATCAGCAGCACAAAGGGCCTCAGATGAATTATTCATGTGTGTGCATTACTCTAAATATAGCTCCTGATTCACGAAGGAGTGTACACATATGTTGATATAGGTGTTGCGTATATACCGGCCCTATAATCCCAAACGTGTACATTTGTATGTTCACACAATACTGTGTTCTATTAAATGCGCGTGGGGATATAGGTATGAAGTGGTCAAATTTTAGAAAAAGATTAATAATTTTAGTCTTCATATGTCTTCATGTGCCCATTCTTGATTACCCAGAGTACAACATCGAGGATGTGTACTTATATGTTTAGAATATCTCACGTTACAAACCCGTGAAGATCCGGGGTCGAATAGGTCTTCAGCAACCCATGCTTACCCTAAAAGGCGACTACGCTTGTGGTAAGAGGCGACTAATGGGATCGGGTGGTCAGGCTCGCTGACTTGGTTGCATGTCATCGTATCCAAATTGCTTGGATCGATGCTCATGATTCAATCACTGGATTGTCTGGTCCAGACTCGATTATTAACAGACCGCCGCCATATAGCTGGACTATTGCTGAATGCGGCGTTAAACAACAATCAAACAAAAAAACAAGTCAAGATCAATGCAGTTCATATATATTAAATCAGTTGCCCTTAAAATATGTGCGTGGGTTCTACGCCAGATAAAAATAACACGCTCAAAACACATTGTCCTTATCGCATGGACTTCGATCTCATCAACCTTGACCTTGCGGATGCGGACCATGACTTCAGCTGGCAAGCCAGGTCGGCGTGACCCTGGAGAATGAGTAATCAAGTTTAAAGAAACAAGGACCACCGGTTAACTCCGTATCATATTTACATTTACCTTCATCTCAAGTAAACAGGGGTATTTTATTCTCACAAGTGTATAACTTAATACTGACATTGTAGGCTAGACCACTTTAAAAAGTTCCTTGTTCCGAAAAAAAGTCCGACCTGAAAGCAGCGATAGAAGTCGGCACCAGTCCTGGACTCCTTGCCCTACTGCCCAATAGTTAAGGTATCAGAAGGAATAATAGAAAATTGTCATTTTTAAGGGTTTTGCTATGTGCCATCATTATAAGGACTGGTGGACTATAAATGTAAGTTGCTATCGCTGCCGAAAGTTAATGTGTGTTTTTTGCATGCATGGGACGAGGTGGATATATTTTATGTAATATGTCCTGACGACCAGTAATGGTGTTCGTGATATATTTTCTAATAACGGCCACGCAGATAAACACCATCTACTTCTTTATTTCATTGCTTTCATTTTATTCAGCTGTTATATATACACTTTCGGACTAAAGAAAGTATACACCAATGTTTGTTTGATGATGGCTGACAGCGGAACAAAGAAGAATGGTTATTCGGTGGTGATGTTTGTTTGTTTGTTGTTTAACGCCGCATTCGGCAATATTCCAGCTGTATGACGGTGGTCTCTAAATAATCAAATCTGGTCAGGAAAATCTAGTGATTGATATAATGAGCATTGATCCATGCAATTGAGCCTGATCATCCGATCCCGTTATTCTCCTCTTACGACTAACAGAGTCGCCTTTTACGGCAAGCATTGGTTGCTGAAGACATATTCTACCCCGGATCTTCACGGGTCGCCTTTTACGGCAAGCATTGGTTGCTGAAGACATATTCTACCCCGGATCTTCACGGGTCGCCTTTTACGGCAAGCATTGGTTGCTGAAGACCTATTCTACCCCGGATCTTCAAGGTTGAAGTAATAAGAAGAATTGAACTTGGGAACAGGGCCAAGCTTGGGTTGCTGAAGACCCTTTTGGCCTGGCAAACGCAAGTGTACTCCAGTGTTTGTTTGATGATGGCTGATAGTGGAACAAAAAAGAAATTGTTATTCGGTGGTGATGTATTCGGTACGAGATAATAGGCGATAAAACATAAGTAAGTCACTACAGGCTACAGTTTCAGCCTTGTAACGTTTGTAATTTGGGGGTCAAACCCCTTTTTCAAGCGTATAGATTCTTTTCCAGGCAGTGTATTTAATTATTTGGAAAATCGAAAAAAATATTATAATTTAAATTAGACCTTCATGTCCATGCATTTACACATAATGTGAGGTCGAACGTG